CCTTGATTAAAAGAAAATTGAAAAAGATCTTAATGACTCATAGCAATATCTCATAGCAATATCAACTATAGCAAAGCACTCGCACATCACTATGACTTTATTCCTTATATTACTTTGATTTTTTGATATCGAAATAATATTCGAACTCAGGCATATCTTTTTAATTTTTACACACTTTTCTTTCTGTATCAAGGTGGCGACCGATCTCATAGATCCGACGGTTCTCGCTCTCAAATCTGATGCTGAGTTGCGAGACTTCTTATCGGCGTTACGCCAAAAAGAGTGCGATGAGCGAGTAAATGTAAACTTTGCACTGTATCGATCTCAACGTGCGATCGCGGAGACTCGGTTGAGCAACATTCAGAATAAAATCCGTCAAGTGGAGGCAGAATTTGATCGCAGACGATGCACAATGCTGCCAGCGCCGACGTTGTCGACACGCGTCATACAACAATTCTCCAGACCATGTTATTCAGCGAGATTCGAGGCTCCCAGGAGATTGTACAGTACGATGCCGCCAGATATTCGTTTGCTAGACCCGTTCACCTATGTAAAACCGCGAAGTCCCAAGAAGTTACTGCTGAAGCCATGCACAGGTAAGCCGGAGACTGTTCTAGCTGGCACGCATAGCAATCCTCCCAAAAACCCAGACGGTGGCGGTGCTGATCAGGCGAAGGAAAGTCTCACGACTTCCGAACAGCATTGTTACAGCACGGAGAATTGCGCGTGTTGCTATAGGACGACGTCGGAGGAGAGCATTAGCGAGGACAAAAAAAAACTTCAACCGAGGATTATCGAAATAGACGGGACGACAGTCAGTAATGTTGAAGAATCGGAATACCAGGCATCATCTTTGATCAAGTCGAATGTCTGCTTGAGAATAGACACAGAGAGATATGAGGAAAATGCGCAAAAATACAGAGAAAGAAACGAAATTCCATGCAGCGCACAATGTTGGACGGCCAAGGCATACATTAACGTCGCCGACGACGAATCGATGAAGACTTTAACAGAATCTGAGAGTGATACGATTACGCTTAGCGAAAAGATCAATGTCGAGAATATTTGCGAAGCACAAAATGCGATTAAGATTCAGAGCTGTGAACAGACAATAAATCAGCAGGAATTTACAAGTTCGTCAGATGTACAGCAATTTAAAAAACAAACAGAAGATAAAATCATGTATGCGAAAAGAAATAAAATTATTGAAATGTGCGACGAGATTAAAAGTTTACGAGACATCCTGTCGCAGGAAGCTGATCAAGAAAAGGAGAGAGCTACGACTACAGTTACAAATGAAGAACCAATTTCAAGTATGCAGGAAACGGAATCAAAATCATTAGGCATATGTGCTTCACTACTAAAAATTATATTAAAATCAAAAAAAGGAAAACGTGAGAATAAACAGGAAGATAAAATTGACGAAATCTTGCCATCAACTGCGGATGCCGTGATAGAACAAAGCACAAATCAAGTACCAATGAGCAAAGCCAAGAAGAAAATAAAATTTCACATTGTCTCATTGATGACAAATATCGAATACGATAAAAATCTTATTGAATATGAAAAAAAACAAAAAATCGAGAAGGCAATAGCAATGAATGAAAAAGAGATAAATGTAACCATCGATCCGGATATTGAAAAATTAAGTAATCACAGGTCGATAGAAAATCTTCTAAAAAGTGCCATCGCGCACAATATTACTGCTGGAAGAGATCACTCAGAGAACATATTTTCAAAGAAAATGGATTTTCCAAAGCTCTGCTTTGATCACCAATGCCAAGCGACATTTAAAGAAGATAAAACTACAACTGCTCCATTGTTAAAGGCAAATATATTTCCCCCATTCAAAAATTTGCATAAACATGTAACAGGTAATTGGTTTCTTTATGTTATCATAATACTCTATATTTAAAAAGAGAAAAAGTAACATTTGCCACATTTTTCCGTTTTACAATGGCTTTTCATTAATCAAAATACAATTTTAAAAATTGCATAGTTCTGTGCAGAATATTAAGTATAAAATTGAGTTTAAATCAAAATTTTTTATTCAGATAATGAGAAAAACGGAGACAACGGAACTTATTCAAATCCGATAACGAAAGCAGAAATTACTACAAAACGTTTATCCCGCTGTAACGATGTCACAGAAAGTACCTTAGAAACTCTTTGCACGAATAATGTGCCTTATCATTCCGATATGGAACGCGAAAGAAGTTTAATTTCGAAACTATTTTTTATCATTGGCAACCGTATGACTGCATTTATCAATAAAATAATTGAAATAATGAAGATCGGAAGATTATTGTATATGATTCGTAGCACGATATTCCGTGAAAGTAATACTCTTAGAAGAGACGTTCCGACAGGCAATTATACCAAACTGACTTCGAAAGATTCCGATTCATTCGCTAATGCCTCGTATTATTCTTCTTTGAATTATAAAACTTCTAAAATTAGTAAATATGATTTTCACAATATCAACTTATTACGGATTTCGACGAAAGAAGAATTTAATGGAATACGTAAAATAAAACATTCTATAATTGAAGACAAAAAAAACGACAGAAGATATTTATTGATCGGTACATCAAGTCACAATTGTGACTTGATACTAACGCGTGATTTAGGTCGACCTTACAAAGTACAGAGAAGTCTCTTGATACGTAGTCGATTGAAAAATTCTCTAAATTCACAGGATTATCCGCATCCTTTTTCTCTTTTGAAATATACAGAAGAAAATGCACTTCCTTGTCAAGCGAAACGTAACGAGAACATAGGAATGATCAAAGAAAATGAAAAACATCAAGTGAAGAGTAGTAAAAAATTCTGGACATCAGAAATTGTAGAAATAAACAAAACTAATGGAAAATTATTAGACATGAGAAAATATAAATCCGAAGAACAAATTTTAAACAAATATTTGTACGATATTAAAAATAGTGTATCTACTGTACAAAAACAAACAGTCATTGATACTACAATCAGCAACGAATTCGTAATAAACGTTCATAATTACGTCGAATTGAAACTGAAATAAATAAGAATATATACGAAAACCGTAACACATTGATATCTAGTAACTGAAATAATAAAATTTCAGAATAATATGTCATGTATTGAAAAATAATTAGGAATTATAAAGGTATGTTATGATTTTCGCTAAAAGCGATTAAAGTACACAATTATAGTGTAACTTCTTTCCTTTATTAATAACTTTTATTTTTTCGTCAGTGATCTATTCTTTCATCGCTATAGCTGTCTAATGAGAATCTTTAGAATTGGGGCAACAGTATGACGGTAAACATATTTCAATGTTTTCCCAGAATCATTCATTCCAGACTCTACAAGAGTTGCAAGAATGGAAAAAGTATTTTGTCACATATCCTGTACATTCGTATCGAATCAGCAACATATCATACTGTTACAATGTGAACACATACATCAAGTACAGTTTAATTGCGTGATTTTGCGATCTTTCTAATTTATTAATTAATATATATATATA